TAAAGTATTTTCAATACAATTTTCTTATATATCGTTTTAAAATAATATCTTCCCGTATCCACTGACACATTCAAGGCATTTTAAAAACAATAACATTTGTTTAAACTTTTTGCACGCATCACTAAGAGACTAAATGAATTGTAACTTTATCTCCTACAGTGAAGCATGGTGGCCTCTCTCTTTCAGGGCATTTTTCACAAACTCAAAAAGGAGGAACTGTATGTTTTTATTTCCCCAACAACTCCTCCATGCAGAAAAACTGCAAAGGTTAAAAGTTTGCTGCATAACTTTTTCTTTTTTTTTTTTAGTACTTTGAAGGAGGACACCCAGCTTAAAGATGAAAGGTAACCAAGACAAAATGACTGGTGGCGAGTTTGCGGTAACTGAGTTCCCCTGCGAATGTGCGGTAAGATGGACAAGCTTTGCTAAAGTCACGTGATATTCAGGACTTTCTTATGCTCAACTGCAGTTTGCCTCGGGTTATCGTCTCCATCTCCCCAACAACCAACAAATTGCGGTAAGACTGCGTATTATGAAGATTTGCACTGTTTTTTGTTGTTTAGTTTCTGTCCATATTTTCTCGTTTCCTACTTGATTCCTTCCTTCTCCAGTTTTTGGCACTTCCTGTCTTCCTTCTTTATCCTCTTCCTTTCAACTGTCCTTTATTCCTTCTTCCCTTCCTTTGTCTAGTCCTCATTTTTATCTTTTTTGATTCTGCTTTTTATTTTTTCCCTCCATTCCTTTTCTTACTTCTTCTTTCTTTCATTAGTCATTAACTTATTTATTTTATTCCGTCCTTCCATCCTTCCTTCCTTCCTTCCTTCCTTCCTTCAGTGCTTGCTTCTTTGAACATTTCCCCTTTCCTTGCATTCTTCTTTTACTTTCCCTTTTTTTCAACTTCCTTCTTTCTTTCCTCATTCCTCGTTGGTTCCATCTTGTGTTTTTTGAACGTTTGGTATTAAAAGCATTTGGTTAGTTTATTTAAGTCTGAAACAATGAATGGCATTTGGGCATAAAACAGATGCACACAAACTCTGTGGTGGCCTTTTCTCATTTTCACTGCTGAAATACGCGATTTAACAAAAGACAATTTAGTAAAACTTTACTAAAGATATTTTAATCTAATCTTGAATCCTTTTCCAACATTTTGTTAGCGTTTGGTTAATTCATCTAAAAAAAAAGAATAAGAAAAGGAAAAAAAAGTGTCTCTTTCATCAGTTGCACAAATAGCCAATTTGAAAAGTCATGGGTTGACTGAGCAAGTTGATAACTACCTTGTGCAACAAGTAAGATTGCTATTGTTTGGTTTTGGGGAACTAGAACTCCACAGATGGTCCATTTTTGCAGAACCTGTGTCATGAGACCGACTCCATGGAGCAGCAGTACGTGTTTTGTTTCTTGCACAATCAATGTTTTCAAGATAACCCGAAGCAGAGCATAAAGGTAGTACATCTTATACACTCAACACACCTCAATATGGATAAAAATAACTGTATCACATATATTTTACTCAATCTATGTAGAAATCAGTGGCGCCACTAGTTCTAGAAACAAAGTTTTATTTAAAAAGATGCTTCTGGCTAAATCCGCTCTCCTGAGAAGATCGAGCTCGTTTGTAGTTTCTTAATGACCAGTAGCAAAACATCTTATCCAAAATATTTCTGAAATAATGCAGTCCAATAAGTACTCTGAGACATTTAGAATGAATACAATCAAAGCACATTCATGCTTTGAAATGGCCCAGTCAAAGTCTAGACTCAATTCTAACTCAGAATCTTCGCGGACTGGCTGAGTTTAAGCTTTAAACAAAATTGAATGAATTTTACTCTCTATATGGACAAATCTAGTAAAGGCATGAATACCCGACTTAGTAGATTTGTTCTGATTTTTTTTAAAGATTTTATTTTATTTCAACTTCAATTCACCTTTACGAACATCTCAAAAAAAAACAAAAAAAAAAAAAAAATTTTGGTATATGGGGGGCATTTTGGTAATCTTGGTATTTATAGAGAAACATAATCCTGACATTAAAAATGAACACCACATATATCCCCAAGGGATCGAATGCCACAACAGAACTGAGCTGCACAAACTTGGACTTGTAGCCAAACGGGAGAGAAATATGTATCCACGCTGCTCTGTCAAATTGCTGAAAAAGCCCAGCAAACAAAGCATATAATCTCTGACTCCTTGCCCCGCTGGAGCCTGTAATTATGCCTATAAAACACATTCTATATATAAACAACAATAGACAGTTAAAGTGGGAGTTACATCAGGGTGTTCAGTGACTCACAGCGCAGAAGGAGCACACCCCATGTGCTTGTGGCGTTAGATTTTAAAACGCAGGCTGGAGCTCGGTAAAACGGACTGTGACGCGAAGGCCGTGGCCGGTCAACCTTTGCGTCGCTCTAATCGGCATGCTGGCACACAGCCCACCTGCATTCAGTCAGAACAGGTTTTCTCGATTGCTGGCTGCGCGAGCTAAGTCACTTTACAGGAAAATAAACAAAAAATTTAAAGGAACAAGATTTGCCTGAAGCTCTGTGTAAGTTGCGAAACTTCACTTGAGATAATCCGGTTACTGTAACGACAATATAACAGGAGTCGGCGCAAAAGCAAAGCGAGAAAGCTTTCCTCAGGAGAAGCGCCGTAACCTAATAGAGAACAGGAAATAAGAAGCAAAGGAAAGTTTGTAGAGAAACACAACTTCACAAACAACCTCTCCCTTGGAGAGATGCAAGAGCTGTTTGAAAGCAGATAGCTTAACAAGGCGTGGATGAGTGTTAAAAATGTAAATGTTTGGGTATATTGGTGCTAAAATGAGAAGGAATCATTTCGCTGGAATACACAGAGAGACTTCTGACACTGCCCAACTCCTAACGCCAGTTTGTCTTCTTCAAAGACAAACGGTTCTTGCTCCGATCGTTTTGCTGGACTCTTAATGTGCTGATAAGGTTTCACTCTGCAAGCCATGTACAAAATGTTATGAAATAGGCCAAGAAAGAATGTTGCAAGCTCCAGCAAGCAGCATGTGCACGAAGTAGGGAAGCAAGGAGTGTTTGTTTGCAAGTGTAGACAAATACAGGAAAAGTTTAAATGCCGAGGCTGATTAGCAGAGACGACTCGATGATTTAGAAAAAAAAAAAAAAAATGGATTGTACCTACTGAATCTATTTGTATTTCTAATCCCTCGCTATGCTTAGTCCAAATGCAAACACGCCAATTAACTGTCTTCTACCACCCATTTAAAACAAAATTCTCAAGGCCTCAAAAGTTATCATAGAAGTGTCATTCATGCTATTCTGAAAGCCCAGGGAGAAGGAGAGGCCTTATTTAGAGTTCAGGGTTGCAACATCCAGAGATGCAACAAACACAAACTTATTGCCGCCAGTCTGTGGTCATCAAACAAACAGAATAAGATGCTGAAATCACCAATAAACTACTGTTTCTAATATCAGAAGGATCCCTCATGCATACAAGACAAATAGCTTAATAATCAATTGGTCACTTGTCCATTTATTGAGTGGAAATAACTGTTCACTTCGCGTATCAATTTCAGCTGCGATTTGGATCCTGCAGAAGACAGTGAGGGGAGCAGAAAGGGTGGTCTGAGTATCTTGATTGTCAAGACTCTACCGTCAGACTCCTCACAGCCTCGACATGCACTTTTTAGAGCTGCTGTCATCAGTAAAACCACCGGCCTGCTGATATGCACTGAGCTTTGCCTCAGGTCGCTGAAATGCTGAACTGAAGTTGGCCAACACTCATTGTCTTTCAGCTCAGACCTCCCAATTCAGATGAATGTTTGTCTGGAAGACTAGAAAACGCAAAACACATGTACTGCAGGTCCTTCAACTGGAGCAGTGGGTTTGAATCAAACGACGACACAGGAAGAAGATCATCCTCATCAGAATCAATCTATCAATCTTTTTTATTTCTTTATATTCCACAGTAATCTACGATATGCCAACAAACAGTTTAATTTTGAGTTATGGTATTAGACTATAAATGGGTTTGATTCAATATTGCCCAATTCTTGTTACACCGACTACTTAGAAATGCACTCATCAGGCTTTTCTTGTAACAGATCGATTGTCTTTGACGTCTGACCTGCTGTTGGATACAGTTTTATCTTGCAACTATGACAGAAACACATGTGCTACAGGTTCTTTAATATGTGTAAATGTAACAGAAAATTAACCAACTTCAATATTTCTATTTACGTAAATAATATGTCAGGTTCCTCCTCACCCCCCCAAAAAAGTGAAAGCTGCTTGATGCATTCACAGACCAAATATGGTGGGAGTTTTTTAAGTTTTGATTCATTTAATGTAGAGGAGGAATGGTTGCATTAATCAATTTGCCTAAGATTGAAATCAGATTTTTTTTTTTACTTTTATTAAATGCATCATGTTTTTTCCATGCATTTTGATCTATTAAGTATTTTTTCTGAATGCTATTAGTCACTTAGCAAATGTAAGACTTGGTGGAGAAATCTTAACGTATTGTACATATTTTACCTTTGTATACCAATCCAGTCACTAAAAAATTTAAAGGTACAGAGACAAATCTGCACCCAATATTCTTCTTAAATGATTACAAATGAAGCATTGCACTGAAACCCAACAATCATGATGATCAGACAGTAAAAAGCCACAACAACACAGCACTTTAACCTTAGCTTAGCTGCTCCAGCAACACCTAAACATTGATAGAAACAAAGTGGCCTGCTTGTGTGTTGGGTTTTTGTTTTTACATTTCTGAAAGCAGAACTCGGTGGTTGTTTCTGAGGTTTGGGAGACAATGCAAGGCCGCCATATAAAGACTGGAAATGGGAGGAAAAGGAAGAGGGCAGTGTGGCCGCCCCTGCCTCACCTCCTGGGGGATACAGGGGAACCAAGAGACGGGAAGGGGAGGTGGTGGGATATGGAGGAGGTCCTGTGTGAGATAAATACAAGATAAAGACGTCCAGGTTTGTGCTCCTGGTAATTCTGACCCACCATAAAGTCGCTGCCGAAGTTGTCCTCTGCCCTGTCCTCGTCCAGTTTGCTCATGGCCTTCACCCTCTGGATAAAGTTTCTTAGGATGCCGGCTTGATCCATCCTTCAGTCCGCTTGTAACGTTGCCTTTTCCTTTAAAAAAAAAATCTCCCAAACTAACAAGGTGGGAATAATACAAAAGAGGATACAGGGGGTAGGGGTAAAAATGGGTAATAAATAAAAAAATAAATAGGCTTCAAGGGTCCTCCCAGAGAGTCATCATCGGTCCGCTACACAACACATTTTTTTTATTATCGCCCCATGTTGTTCCTGCCTTCCCTTCTTTCTTCTGGACTATTTCCACAACGACAGCACTTGGTCCCGAAGAAAAGCGCCAACCGGCTCTGCAGCCCCACAAACAAGTTCCTAAACGTCGCGTGGTATCAACCGTAATGGCTTGGCGGTACAAGAAACAAAAAATAAAGCAAAACAGGACCCAAAAATTAGAACCACCCCGGTCCGGTCAGTATTTCCACCCCTCCCTGTCTACCTCGATTGCCACATTCACACACTGCTGCCGCTGCTGCTTGCTATTTCGCTACTGGGGGGGAACATCCGGACAGGGCACAGCCAACAAGAGGTAGAGCCGCCTCTGACAGGAAATGTCTGCCTCTGATTGGTTAGAGAGAATACAATGTTGGAATCCCATTGGATAAAATGGATGCTGCTCTACTAAATAAGTGCGTGTGATTGGAGAGAAGACATGTCCGTTTTTTTGACAAGTATTAGTGTTGGCCCTTTCAGAAAATAATGTGACACAAATAAATAAAAAATAAATATATGCAAAAGAAAATATGCAATATATTTTACATTTACAGTATTTTTAGACATATTTATTTGAGTATATTGTTAGAGTACTTTGTTCAGCCAGGCTTCTTACTTTGCACAACTTGAATGAATAAAATAAAAAAAATAAAAACTAAAAGATGAAACAGCAAAAATGCAAATAATGCAACAATTCATTGTGCTTCAAAAATTTATTTAATTAAATATACTGCCAGTGTTTTATTCAATAAAACTTAAATAAAATGGAACAAACCACCACAGATCCAAAACATTGGTTTCATAAATAACACTTTAACATAAAAATAAACTAATAGATAACTGGCCAAGAAGCAAAAAATATTTAGAAATACTTATTGATACAGAATTAAGTATTTTTTAATATACTACCATTTTGGTGATATCCTTAGTGATAGTAATTGACAGCTCAAACTATACACCAGTAAATAAATGATGAAGAAACATAAAAACCATCTGCAAAGCACCACAACTATTCATATTGATTTTCAGCAAAAAAAAAAAAACAAAAAAAAAAACATACCTAAGTTTTGTGGAGAACAAATATATTTATCATTTTGAACTGGAAGGGAAATAAATAATAATAGTCTTTATACATTTGTACAAATAAAAATCTGAGATGAAGAATATTTACATTCTGCTCCCTTTACTCGAATATGATCATTCAACTTAAGATGTGATATTGGATAATGGGAAACATGGCTGTCCACTTAAACTAAAAAGTGAAGCAATGAGGTCATTAATCAAAGAAGCAGCCCAGAGGCCCAGGGTAAATCTGGAGGAACTCCAACAATCCATGACTCATGTAAGACAACTGTTGGTTGGCCACTGTACACACATTTCTGTGGAGAAATCCTGTTTGGCACAAGAAACATAGGGAACGGAGCACACAAAAGTTGATCTGGTCAGATGAGAACAAATCACAGTAATTTGGATTTGGATGAAGATAAATACATGAAATACACAGTACGTCAATGTCCAGACCTAAGTAAAATCTAAAAACAGTGGCAAGACTTCAAGAAAAATGGTTTTCTCTGAATCTCTCCACCCAGTCTGACTGAGGTAGAGCTAATTGGTGCAGAAAAAAAACTTTTTAAAAGTTCCCAAAGGAAAATAGATTCTCATGCTTGTAAAACCATATGTTTGGGGCTGCAAATTTGAGATTTACAACTACATGATTTACAATAAAGAGAAGCACATAATACTCCATAATGTTGCCATTACAAAGGACTTCAATAGACTCTGATGCCGCAGGAATTGTCCTCTGGTAAACACACACACACACACAGAGAGAGACACCAAAACAAGGAATCAAGCTACTTTGTTTTCCTTTAGTTCTAGCAGCAATGGCAAACAAACCCATCCTTTCACTGCGACTGAGTGCGAAACAGAGAAGGGACGCTGCTGCTGTGCCAGCAAACGTATTGCTCACACAAGCTGCTTTTTGTTGCTCTTGTCTTCCAACTTATTTGCTTGTTACTTCCGTACATATTCAGTCTTTTTCTTTTCTCCCACTTCTGCTTCTGCTCTGTCCTCATTAGGCCTCTTCAGCAACAGACTGATCCAGCTCAGAGAATTTAAATGTACCTCTGCTCCCAGTATTTTTTTTTTATTTTTTTTTTTTAGAAAATGAACTTATCTGGTGAAAAACAAACAAACAATGCAAAAGCAGTTTTTATTTCGTAATATGTATGCATCTCATGACTGACGAAAAAAAGCAAAAATGAAAGTTTTATGACTTAATTTTTGTCCAATATCTCGAGATTGTCCAAAGTCCTGTCTTGTCGTCTTTCTATTTTAAATAATTAAATCAAATTAAATCTTCTCTCTTCAGCTCATCCCTCTGGGCCTCAGCAGGATTGTAGTTGTAGGAGCACCAATCATCAAAAATGGCCAATTTGTGTCAAGCAAACCATTTCTGTGTTGATTTATTCTGTTATTCCAAAGAGTTTATGGTGCCATGCACTATTACAAGGTTGCCATGTCTTTTAGAAAAAAAACAGACCCACAGCATTACAGATCCTCCACTTTACTTATCATTGCACATCAGATGATTTTCTACATATGCATTTATTTTAATTTATTTTATGTCAGACCCCGGTGGAATGTTTGCTATGAAAGAAAGAAATCTTAGTCTCATCTGTCCAAAGTACAAAATCAAGTTGAGATCAAATCTTTGGAAAGTTTGTATTGCTATAGGAAAGGCATGTTTATGAATCACCAACCAAGAAAACAAAAGTTCGCATAGAACATTTTTCCAAATATGTTCGGGGTTTGTCTTGTTGATATGTCTGAACCCTGAAAACTGACCTTAACTGAGATAGCTGAGGTTTTCAGTGGATTAGAGGGCCTACATAGGATACTCTCCCTTTCAGTAAATCAAAAATAAAAATAGTATTTTGTATATATGAAAGGAAATATGTGTCTAGTTTATTTGTGTATTAAAATTAACTTTAGTTATCCAAGTGCCATTCTGTATACTGATGAATAAATGCTTCGGCGAGTCAGTCCACAGTGTGTTTTCTCTAATAGATGCATAAAATGACCTCGTGACCTTTCCTTCTTTTCTCAGCGCTGGCTCTGGTTACTCTGTACTGTATCTGACCCTGACCTTTGATCCCCACGTGGGGAAAAAAAGGGGCCAGAGGTTCACTATTTCACAGCAGGGGTCATTTACATATCATCTTATAAACCGTTTCCTCTCTGTGTCCACTACTGCTGTGCTTTCTAACTTTCAACACAGCACACTATGTCTTGCTCTTTAATTCCCTCTGTTCCCTTCTTTTATCTCTGCTTCTCTCCCTTCATTTCTCCTCCTCTCTTTCTTTCCCCCCCCCCCCCCCACCAACCACGCCATTTCCCTCCCCC